CCACGGGCCGATTTATGGCCGTTTATGGGTTTTATGTAAACAAAAAAACAATCTCGAGTTCCGCAGAATCACGATCAAAAGCCTTAGAAAAATCTAAATAAATAACATCAACTCGTTGTCTCCTCTCAAGAGCGTTAGCAAATTGATGAACTTTTTGAGATAGTTGAGACACGGGGGATTTTCCTGGTAGGAAACCATGCTGCCAGTGGGTAAGATGGGGGCAAATAATACTAAAGATCTCATTATAAACTTGTCTTTCCAAAATTTTAGATAGAACATCAAGAAGCGAAATACTACGGTAGTTTGAATGCATCGTCTTAAACTCACATTTATGAATAGGGACAAGATTTGCGTGTTTCCATTTTTCAGGAAATGTCCCAAGCTCTAAGGACAAATTGAATAATCTGCATAATGAAGGTGAAATTTCATTAGCACATGCTTGCAATAACTTACTGGAAAGACCAAGGGAAGCTTTGTTAACGTCAAGCGATTGAAGCTGTTTAAGATTGTTGCTAGGGCTAAGGCGTACTTCAGATAATTCACGTTTAACGCTGTAGTTCAGTCTGAGTAGACATACATCAGCGCTACTAGCAGGCTACTAGAGTCAGGTGGGGTAAAAACTAAGTGAAAAAACACGTTGAATAAATTAGCTTGATCAATAGGTCTGGTGGCCTGTACCGATTCATGTTTAATCACCCCCGGAATTCTAGTAGTTTTGGTAATCGCTTTGTAACATATGTGACCAACATTTGCAAGGATTGTCCCTTAAGGAATAACTAAGCTTAGTGAGGTGACTACGCTTTTTAAATTTAACCATTTTCTTAACCTGACGTCTAAGCTCACTGAATGTTTCCCACAAACTTACGGAATCCTTCAACTTAGCTTTACGTCGAGTTCTGTTCTTCTTTCTAATTCATTAACAATAACACCTCTTTATCAATCCATTGATTGATTGAGCATAAGCTTTGCGTTATAGGCGACCATCTCGGTTTCAAATGTTTCGAGTCTAGAAACGATCCACCGAAATGCACACAAATGTGATCCCGCGAAGTGTTCACTCGGCGAGTCTCCCGCTTTGTGATCGGCCAAAGAAGACTAAAACTGGAACAAATTAAGTAATCCATCGATAAGTACGAAGAACGGTTCTTAGGTTTTAATTGCGCAGGATAAAGAAGGAGACAAGACTATCCCAATCATATTCCCTGGATAAAAATTCATTCTAAAGTTCACATAATGTTAGCATATTATTTTAATTCAACGAAAACATATGGTTTATTCTCTGGTCCTAACTACACCGCCAATATTCAAAACAAAATTCGTTAATTTAAACTTCACATAACGTTAGCATATTATTTTAATTCAACGAAAACATATGGTTTATTCACTGGTCCTAACTACACCGCCAATATTGAAAACAAAATTTGTTAATTTAAACTTCACAGTTGAAACCTACATATTGGTCTGAAATATTACGCTTAATTAAGCAGAGACCATGTGTGCTCCAAAATAGCAATGCTCTGGATGGAACCACATACTGGTATCATTCCGATCAGGCTTTAGGGAGATCTGCTCTCCCGCAGACAATACAAACACTCCTCCAGCACTTCCGGTCTCTTCAATTGGACCTCCTGGCAAATCCTTGTTGATCATGAGAAGAACTCTGTTGCCTGCCATGACCAAAACGCGGTTTTTTGACAGAGATGGCTGATGGACAAAGAAGAGCTGGGCGTAGACGTAGTAGCGTCCAGTATATGGGACTGTGAGTGCGCCTGCATTGTTGTAGTAAAAGCCGCCAAGCACGTGGCTTTTAGGGTCGTTCGGGTTCCAGTGGGTAATAACTATGGATAAAACAAAAACAAATAAAATTACGCAAAACGTACCACGTACTACTACTACTACTACTACTACTACTACTACTACTACTACTACTACTACTACTACTACTACTACTACTACTACTACTACTACTACTACTACTACTACTACTACTACTACTACTACTACTACTACTA